TTTGTCGGGCCCTGGGACCCTCATACAGATCGATGCGGCTCGAAGAAGGACGCAGGAAATGGGGTCCGCGGCTTTGGTGGTGATTATTGATGCGGACGTCGGATCTCAGGGTATCCGCGCCCTCGCGGGCTGTACCCCTGGGCCGCGACTCACCGGATACGGGGCGTTTTGTTCGCGGATGCCCCACGCGGAAGGTGTCCGTGCGCCCGTATATCCGCGGCATCGTTCTCTGGAGCCCAGACCGAATTTGGCCGCTGGTGGTTTTAGACAGCGTTTGCTGCTTGGGCACTGTCTCCGATTCTTCCGTACGCCTCTCGGGCGTCCACGAGAGCCCGAGAGGACGCCCCGAGGGGTGTGAGCTCTGAGGGCTTTGCTGCGTCTAGGGCCGAGTCTAGGGCCCCACGGGGGCCCAACGCGTGCCCCGGGACCGCCAGACAACAACTCAGGAGGAAGAGCTTCAGGAGAGGAACGAACATTGGCACAAACAGACGTCGAGTCTCAGGAAGATTTATGGGAATGTGTGGGAGGTGGAGGGGAGGACGAAACGCGGAACACATGGAGCAACATTGGGAGTTCGGGGATGTGTGTCTACTGAATCTTCTGGGCAGAACGACCCTCACCAGAGTTGGCCGGAGGGGGTTGGCCGAGAGGGTTGGCCGGGGTATTCGGGGTTTGCCAGGGGGGGTGGCCAGGCTTATCGTTGCAGGGCAAGTTTGCACCGTCGCGAAGTGGATTGGAAGTGACGGTGCCGACTCTCTGTCCTGATTTGTTGTGTTGTTTGAGGCGCTATCAGATTACTCCTCTGCGTTCTCCTCTGACCGCTTCCCAATTATGTTATTAGTTGCCCGCCTCTTGTTTGATTCTCTCATCCTTCTCGTCCCCCCTCTCTCTCTCTCTGTACATCTGTGGGGGTACGGGCCGTCGGCGTGGCAGTTTCGGGCTCGCGCGGTGCGCGGTTCTGTCGACGACGCCCCAGCTGCTCAGTCAGAGTTTGGTGAGCAGGTTCCGCAGAAGTTCCGCAACGGATGGGGCTCTGCAGTGGAAACCCAAGCCAAGAAACACCCTGCTTGCCTCCAGGGTGCCCCGGGTTGTGTTCGAGCTCCTGCTGGAACTGTTGGCATCATGTCTTGTCTGGGCCACGCTGGCGTCAAGCCGGCCACCCTCAGCATCTGGGGCCCGAGCTTCCACGCAGCGGCTGAGACACGTCTGCCTTCCTGTGGGTCCCTCCCCCTCCTTCCTTCCCCGTGGCGTCCTGGGCGCCAGACCTGGGAAAACCAGGGGGGATTGGCCAGGGGGTTGGTGAGGGGTTGGTTAGAGGTTGGCTGGGTTCAACTTCCACCCCTGCCCATTCCATCCCAGGTCTCCTTCCTTTTTTGTTCCTCCTTCGCCCTCTCTGCTTTCTCCTCCTTCTCCTCCTTCTCCTGTCCCTTCCGCCTTTGCCCGCGCAGGGGCGAAGGGATGCGGAGGTGGAGGAGGAAAGAGGCAACTGACGGAGGTTAAAAGGAGGGACGCGGGAGGTAGGGCGCATATGGGGTCGTTTGCACGCGCCGGCTTGCGCACGGCGCATCTCGCTTTGCCAGCGTTGTTTGCAAGGAGCTCATTCGAAGTGTGCCGGATTTCATCCTATTGCTAGCGGCGCTGCCAGGACGCCAGGAGGTGCGGGCTTGTTTCCAGCAAACAGAATGCGATGCGAGCGTTTTTCTTGTGATGCGCATCCCGCTGCAGGTCCCGTTTCCTTCCCTCCCGTGTCATTCCAATGCCCCTTCCTGTAAGTTTCGTGAATTTGCTGTCTCATTTCCATTGCACTTCGCGCTGCCAGTATTGCTGCCGGGACGCACGCGCCAAGCGTGTTGGCTCGCAGGATCCGCGCATCGGAATACCAGCGCTGCCGGCAGGAAACTCACACCCAGCGCATCGGCTTTCGTATGGTGCGTGTCGTATGGTCCGCATTTCTGCCAAGCGTTACGCCGATCAACGAATTGCTTCAGTGCCCGCTCGCACTTGATGGTCATCACGCTGCCAGCAACGATGCCAGGAACCGCACTCCAATCGCGCCAGTCCGGGGGCACCGAACCTCGCATGGCCAGCGCTGCTGGCATGGAAGCTCGTTCCGATTCTGCCGGCCCGCTTCTCGCGCACATCGCCTGGCCGGCCTGTCTGCCAAGAAGCTCACTCCATGCGTGCTCGCTCGCACGCGATGGTTCAGAGCCCCGAATCATCAGGGGTAACTCGGGTCAGGGATAACTCGGGCTGTTTTTTCGGGAATCCAAGCCCGACTTACCCTGGTCCCGAGTTACCCCGGATAACTCGGGCGTCCAGAGCCCCACATCATCAGGGGTAACTCGGGTCAGAGCTAACTCGGGCTCCTTTTTCGGGGTTCCGAACCCGAGTTACCCCGGACCCGAGTTACCCTGGATAACTCGGGCGCCCAAATGGTCATCGCGCGGCCCGCTTGGATACCGGGAAGCTCAAGTCCGAGCGTGCCCGCGTGCTTCCAGCACGCCTCGGGTTCATTAGAGAAGGGCTGGCTGGGGCTCGGGGTTGGCCGGGGGGTGGCTGGCGACGGCAGCTTTTAGAGGTGCGATCTCTTCCATTTGATATCGTATGTGTTTGTGTGTGTTCAGCGGGCGAAGAACGGTATAAAATAAACTTTTTCGCCGTCGGTGACACCTGCCCCAGGGCGGCTGGAAAGTTTATACCCCTACGGTGCCACCGTAAGGGTATACATTTTCCAGCCGCCCTGGGGCAGGTGTCCCCGACGGCGACAAAGTTTATGTTATACCGTTCTTCGCCCGTTAATGTGTGTGTGTGTGCCCCTTTTCTTATCCTCCCCCCCTCGGCCGCATGCTCTGCCTATTTCCCTCTCTTGCATGCTGGCCAATGCGCTCTTCGGTGCTCCCGTCTGGCTCCATCGCTGGTGCAGCCGATTCTGCCTCGCCGCCGACGGACAAGTGTGTTTGTGTGTGTGTGTGTGCGTGCGTGTGTGTGTGTATGTGTGTGCGTGCTTTTGTTTGTGTTTGTGTGTATGCTTGTGTTTGTGTTTGTGTTTGTGTTTGTGTTTGTGTGTGTGTGTGTCCCTGGGACGCTCTCGGAAGGAGCGGCCACGGCGCCCGATGCATCCTCCATCCAAGCCCGCTGGTTCTCGAGGGCCCTCAGCTTATACCTCATACTGACTCGTGCGTGTCCTCATCCTCTTGCATGCTAGCCAGTGCGCTTGTCGGTGCCCCCGTCTGGCTCCAGCGCTGGCGCAGCCAGCTCTGCCTCGCCGCCGACGGAGCAAGTGTGTGTCCTCATCCTGCCTTCGCCTGGATGGGGGGACCCGCCACACAGGCACACCCTGGGGGATTTGCCTGATCCATACGTTCGTCTTTCCATGCGCGTTCGTTCGTTCCAGTCGGAGGCCAGACTGGCAGATTGGATTGGGCTTCTGGGACCAATCTGGCATCACTGTCTAATGAGTGCCAATCCGGCGCCAGCCTGGCGCAGCCCAGTCCGATGGGTCGTCGTGGTCGTCGGTATAGTTCGGTCGTAGAACATGTCCCCAGTCGCCACGCCAAGTGTGGCCACGCATGCTTTTGTTCAGTCGTCATCCTTCATGTAGAGTGGCGATGCGGAGATGCCCAGGTGGGACGCCACGCCTCAACGCATTGGGGCGATGATTCATAAAGTTGGCTCAGGGCCTTCTCTCATCAGCATCATCGTGATTGGTTGGTCGTCCTGTCCGAAATACCTCCCCAGCGGCAGCGCACATGGTTTTCGCTCGTGCCTGGTGCTTTGCCTCAAATCGTCATCCTGCAGTGCGGTTGGGAGCTAGTCGTCTCGCTCCGCCAGCCCTGGCCCACCACGCTCTGGCGCGATGCGCCGGAAACACGAAACAGCGAGAACGCAAAAAACATCGAAAACAAACAATGAAAATCAATTGTTTTGCCCTCTCGGGACGGTCTTGGGCGGCATCTTAAGGGCCTCGTGGGGCGTCTTGGAGGCCTCCAGGGCAGTTTAACACGCATCGTGCGTCGCCAGAGACCCCTGGAGGGCGTCTTGGGGGTGTCTCGAGACCGTCTGGGGCCGCTGGCATTGCTGTCTGAGGGCTCCCTGGGGCGATGATTTCAAGCCTCCCAGAGGCGGGCCCGGGCCCCGGCACCCACATTTGTGGTCGAGGTATCCGCCCTCGAACCCCGGGCCCGGTGCGCCGTTATGTATGTATATATGTATGTATGTATGCATGCATGCATGCATGTGTATGTGTATGTGTATGTGTATGTGTATGTGTATGTGTATGTGTATGTGTATGTGTATGTGTATGTGTATGTGTATGTGTATGTGTATGTGTATGTGTGTGTGTATGTGTATGTGTATGTGTATGTATGTGTGTATGTGTATGTGTATGTGTATGTGTATGTGTATGTGTATGTGTATGTGTATGTGTATGTGTATGTTGTATGTTGTATGTTAACTGTGTATGTGTATGTGTATGTGTATGTGTATATTGTATGTTGTATGTTGTATGTGTATGTGTATGTGTATGTGTATGTGTGTGTATGTATGTATGTATGTATGTATGTATGTATGTATGTATTTATGTATGTATGTTTTTTTTTATGTATTTATGCATTTAAGTATGTATGTATGCATGCATGCATGCATGTATGACTGAATGAACGAATGAATGAATGAATGAATAAATATATAGAGAGAGAGAGAGATATCTACCTACATACATATATATAACTATATGTCTACATCGACATGTAGCTGCATTTACATGTGCAAATATGCTTATACACATCGTGTGCAAAGTGTACACATATGTACACGTGTTCCAAATGCCAATGTCCTGAGCTTTCCGCATCCCCGCGGAGCGGAGCGACACGCTATCCGCTCGCAGGGCCTGTGCAAGAGGTTTTGGCAGCACAGTCGGGTGTGATTAGCAGGTCGGCCCTGCCAAGTCAAGGGTACCCTTCTGTCCCCTGCCTCGCGGCCCATGCCTTCTCGCATTCCTATGGCAACGTGGCCCCCGGAAGGGTCTCGTGTCCTCTCGCGTGCCCTCTCCAGTCAAGGCCGGCTGCAGTGGCCCTGCCCCTCCGGAGCCACTGTGGCTCCAGCCTCCTGCGCGTGCCCGGCATGCCTCCGCGCGCGGGAGGCCCCTCGCGGGTGCCGCGACCCGCGCCCGACTGAGCCGCGGGCCTGGCGCCCAGCTGGGGTGTGCGCCATGGCGCGGGTGCTCGTTGCGGACTCGGTGTACCAGGTCTCGGGGTAGCAAGTCACCGAGGGCAGAATAGCCCCTGACCCTGATAATGCGATGAAGACGTGGTCTCATTGGGGTCCCCCGTTTTCGCACGAGGGCGAATAATCATGGGCGGTTTGGTTGGATACATCTTCAGAAAAGACCCCCTATCCCTAATGTTGCTGGCCCTCCTGAGTGAGATCGCCTTCCAATGGGTTAAGGGTCCTTTCGGGCCTTATCAGCAAAGGTACCGACACCGCTGCCTCGTCCTGGAGAATCCTCGTCGACACGGCGGGGTTCTCCGCAGAAGGTTGGTCAGAGCGCGCATCGGCAGCATTCCGTGGAGCAGCGGTAGCGTTTTTTTTCTGGCGACGAGCCCGGAGGGGGGTTAGGAGGAGAATGCCTTCTCAGAAGGCTGGGAAGACCCCCGCCCTTCTGAGAAGTGTTGTAAGCCTTCCCCGCAGGCGCAGAAAACTTCTCATAAGGTCCGCCGCCTTCTGAGAATTCCCGCCGCCTTCTGAGAGGACCTTCTCCTGCTCACTTCCCCCCTCTCGCTCGCCGCCGACTTTTGGTTCCCCCAAGGTCTGCACGTCGCACGCGCTGATGACTGAGCGCGAGGAGGTCCATGCAGAGTAGAATCGTTGAATGGCAGCCGTGACGCTGAGAGAGAGGCCACTGTGGGCTCAGGGGTCGCGGTGGTCTGTGGACCCGTCCCTCAGCATGTGGTCGGGCAGCCTATTCGTGGGCGAGGCTCGCCGTGGCTGTCTGCAGGGTTGGCTCGCGCTGCGTTGACGCGAAGGCGACCCCAGCGCGGGCGGTCAAGGTTGAATGCCGCCAGTGGCTCAAGATGCGGCCGATGCCGAGCGATCCACGTTGTCGGGAAAGCCGCGGTCGCTCGGGTCTGCACGATCAACGGCGTTCCAGGAACCCGCACCACGGGAGAGATCCCGAGCGAGCCGCGGCGGCGCTATGACTTTTTCGCCTCTCTCCACAGGCGAGCAGATATGCACGATGGACCAGACATCGCCTGTTGATGCTTTCCCCGATGTGCACGATGCTATCTTCGCGGACCCCTCTCGCCAACCTCTTGCTGCGAAGCTTGCGCTGTAGTGGGACGTGTGGGTGAGCAGATGCAGGGAGGGGGTGGGGGATCCTCGCAGTATTGGTGCTGATCGTGTGAAGGCACATCTGTTGGCCGGCTGCGCCCCGTTCGTTTCACCCATCCGGTTTCCCCCGTTTCGCTTCTCTTCTGCTCGCGTCCTGGGGCGCCTCCGAAGAATCTTCGGCGGAGTCCATTACCAGAGCCAAAAGCAGACGAGGGGTGAAGACTGGCGCCCCGCTTCAGCATCGGCTGGGGGCCTGGCGGCAGGTCTGGGCGCCCTACCCTCGGTCGCCACTCCCGCTTGGTTCCCTGAGCTCCGCCGCCGCGTAGGGAAAGGCAACACGGCAACACCGCGGGACATCGCAACCGGGGAGCCCTCGACACCACATTTCGGGCGGGCGGTAATGGGGGGTGACCTACATGCGGGTGAAGCCGCCGACCTGAAAGGGGCCGTTGAGGGCCCTCTTGGAGCCAGGCAGCTGGGGCCCTCAAGGGCCCCCCTCATGGGCCCTTTCCCTCCACCCCCCAGGTTGGGTACCCCCCCAGTCCCAGGCTGGCGAAGTCCCGATGTTTTCAAGGCGCGGCCCCTGGAAGTCCCGACCCTCTCCCCAGGACCGCCTGCTCCTCCGCAGAGTCGTCTTCTCGCGGTCCCGCGGACCGGGCGAGGGCCCCGGGAGGACGAGCGTCGCGGCAGGAGCTCCCCGTCCTGCTCTCTCCACGACGCGAGCACGTCTGGGTCACCCTCCGCCCGCACCTCGCCGCGGCGCGTCCTCGAGCCGGACGGGCCCAGCTACGCGAGGGCTCCCCGTGGGGATGCCCCCGGGGCGGCCGCGCCCGGGAGGTGAGCTCACTGCAGCGCCAGGACGTCAGGGGCTCCCCCCCCCCGCCCCGTTCGCAGCCCCGCTCGTCCTCCGATGCGAAGGCGAGACGACGCCAGAAGCACAAACTGTGGGCGCTCCGCGCGGGTTCCCGGAATGTCTTTCTCGGAGGGGCGAACAGCAACAGCGATCGAAGAGGGAGGACCTGCGTTAAGCATGAACGTTGTACGATCCGTGCATGGCGCCGGGCCCCCCCCAGCGGCGCCTGTGGCGCCGCCCCTGGCGCGCCCTGCGCGCCAGGGAAGGGGTTCCAGCGCAGATCCGAGAAGTCCGCGCGAAGCGCCGAAATTCAATGCTCATTTCGTTGTTCCTTCTTCTACCGATGCGGCTTTGCCAATCCGCAGCCCGAACTAGAGATCCTGACACGCCCTGGGCCCGAAGGTCCGACGCTTCAAAGTTGCAGCATCGCAAGCACACATATCACCGCCCGAGCAGCGGACCCCACCGCTCTCCGTCCGGTTCGAGCCGCATCGATCTGCGAGGGTCAAGGGGCCCGAGGCCGGGCGAGAACGCCCGCTGTGAAGAGCTGCAGCGCCAGGATCTCCAGGGGGGGGGGTCGCTTCCCGGAGCCATGTTCTTGATCGCCCCGGAGACCGGCAGCGGCTCCCGGCGGCCGAACGGAAGGAGAAGCCCAGGGATGCACCATCAGCCCTACAGTTAAGTCGGACATAATTATGTCCCTCTACAGGAGGAACGTTCTAAAATAGTCACGAAATAATTAGTCGGGGGATGATTTTCCTATTTGATTATCTTTGTTACTTTTTTCTGTCCTCCAAAATCCGCCTGTAGGAGGCCATGCCCGACCTAATCCTACAGAGGTCATGGGGCTGCTGCTGGGGCGCATCTCCGGCGAGGAGGTGCATGTCTGGCACTCCGTCACGCTCCACCGCAGCGACAAGCGCCCCGACCGCTGCGAGATCTCGCCCGAGCAGCTTGCCGGGGCGGCCTCGAGCGCCGAGGCCATCGGCGAGAAGGTCGGCTTCGACACCCGGGTGGTGGGGTGGTACCACTCGCACCCGCACATCTCGGGGTCGTCTAGGAGGAGGGCCTGGATGTACTGCTGCCTTTCCCTCGTTACCCCACAGCCGAATCCGCTTCGAGATCATGGCAAGGACGCACCCCCAAAGAGGGGTCCGTGGAGCAGCGGTATGGGCATGTCTGTGGTTGCGCCAAGGGGGGCAAAGTACAAGGGCCAGGGCCAGGAGGTCTGCCCGTGTACCTTGCCCCCCCCCCCCCTCGCTCTCTTTCGGCACGTCCACTCGTTCTCTTCCGGCACGTCCAGTGCCCGCCCCCGCGGTCCACGCACGCGCCTCGGGCCACGGTGCGCCCAGCGCCCTTCCTCCGTGGCGCACCCGCGCACCCGCGCCCCTGAGAGCCTTCCGTGCAGCGACCCGCTGGGCTGCGCCGGGCGCCCCCCCCGCTGCCGCTGCCGAGGTTTCCTCCCCCTCCTCCTCCTCCTCCTCCTCCACCTCCTCCTCCACCTCCTCCTCCTCCACCTCCTCCTCCTCCTCCTCCACCTCCTCCTCCTCCTCCTCCTCCTCCGTCTCCGCCTCCTCCTCCTCCTCCTCCTCCTCTTCCTCCTCCTCCTCCTCCTCCTCCTCCTCCTCCTCCCGAGCGTCACTATGGCGACCGGAAGAGGCGAACCTTGCTGAACTGAGGTCGGTCGGTGCGCCAGCGCGCCAGCGCCCTTCAGTTCAGCGGTCCCTGCCTCTCCGACGCTATGGTCACGTCGCGCTCATGGGTTAGATCGCTGGGCGGGAGGGTCCCAGGGTGCGTACGCATCACCTGCTTGCCGAGCCACGTGGACCTGCGCACGCAGATGATGTACCAGGGCATGGAGCGCTCGTTCGTCGGCCTGATCTTCGCGGTGTTCAACTCGGACCCCGCCAGGGGCTCCGCCAGGTACGAGCTGCTCGGCTTCCGGGCGGAGGATCGGGTGATGGCAAGACCCAGATGTCTGACGATGCTATGTTTTCAATCCAGGCGTCTTTGCTTGCTTTCGACCTCAGGGGCCTGTTCTCGGGACCCTGGACACACACAACATGGCGCTGGGATGCAAGGCTGCGATTGAAAAACCCATCTGGTCAGGAATTTTCGCTTAGTGTGCGTTGCTCCGCTTGCTCTGGCCCGCCCCGCTACTTGCACTTCCCGGCCCCCCCAGCGTCGGGGTCCCGAGCTTTCCCCAGCCTCCCGCCCCGCGGAGCGGAGCGACACGCCAACCGCTTGCAAGGCACATCGTGTCGCCGGGGCCGCTGTCGGCTGCGTCGCGCTGATCAAACATTCCTGATTCGAAAATAGTCAATAGGTTGTCTGGGGACGGTTTTTCCACTACTTTTGACTATTTCTTTTGATGTTTGAATATTTGGATTCTTTCCCACTACATGAGAATTTCTTTGAAAATGTTCGACTTGTTTCATATGCTCTACTACTTTCGACTATGTTCATTTTTTCCCCAACCATCCTGTGGTGTTGGGTCCTCGTTTTGAAGAGACGGTGCCCCGCGTTCTCCTTCCTTCCTTCCTTCCTCCCGCTGCCTCCTCCCCCTCCTCCTCCCTCCTCCCCCTCTTCCCTGCGTTTCATTACAGCGCTTCGTAGCCCCATAGGGAGCTCCGCCGAAGGCCCCAGTGCTGCCGCCCGCATGCGTCACGCACACCCAATTCAGCACACCCCTCACACGTTTCGTGGCCCCATAGGGAGCTCCGCCAAAGGCCCCAACGCTGCCGCCCGCATGCGTCACGCACACCCAATTCGGCACACCCCTCACACGTTTCGTGGCCCCATAGGGAGTTCCACCGA